ATCAGACTATTATTTGTCAAAGTTTGGTACACTTTTTGAAAAGCATCATTCTTGCAGTAATACCTAGTCAGACTCATTCATTTCAGTGTGAGTGTGTGTGTGTATTGTACTCACTCTGAATGTTTAGCTTATTCATTTCTGTGCTTAACAAATAAAGGATAGTTTGTTTGGATTAATGGATAGCATATTTAATACAGTCACCAAATTGATAGAGAAAACCATTTTTAGGAGTAAAAAAAAATTAAATTGGTGAAATGAGTTAAGTAGACCTCTGCACAAACCTTAAAACACTGTACACACACGCCTCAGCTGTCTGATACAGTCTGAAGTTTCATGCTATTAATAGAGCGGCTACAGTAGAAGACAGAAAACACCTCTGGAGAGAGTGTGTGTGTGTGTGTGTGTGTGTAATCTCAGTCATACCTCAACGACTCTATATGACCTTTACAAAGCCCTGCCAAACCCTGACCTTTGTGCAAAACATTCTGACCTTTGTATTTGAGCAATGTATGCAGCCGTAACCCACATACACACACACACTTTGATGCAGGTTTTTGCTCCTGCAATTTGATGATTAGTGGTGCAATAAATACGTAAACAAGTAAACAAGACTATATAACTCTTAGCTTTCTCAGAACTGTTAGGAGAAACTCACTATTGCAAAAAAATACGTCAGAATTGTGAGAAACTATCGTAAATGTATATATTTGTATTCCGTGGCAGAAACAAGCGTCCATCGATGTTCTATTTGGGTCCACTAATTTTTACCTGAATTTTCATCTGAGATAAAGCAAAGTTCACATTTTTAAAACTGTATCAGATCAGGTATCAATCATTTAATTTTTTATTAAGATTTTGGTGCTTTTTATCATAATCATTCATGTCTTTAGCCTATTCTTCTGCCTTTTTAAAATTCTCAGTTCGTCTGCGAGAGCATAAAATCACCAATCACAGCACAGCATTTTATCGAGCGCGCGGAGCTGCCCTCGACCGTGTGGCACGTGATCATCAAGCAAACCTAACTATCTATAAGCGCGTGCACATTGACGCAACAATTAGTTATTAAATAACCCCCTAATGACGCAATATTCCGAGTGGACTTTACCCGAAATTTAACTTTTATATACTTTTTTTCGTAAATATAATAATTGTGCATCGTGTGTCGTTTATTGGGCATGATGTTAAATCGTCCCCGAAACGTCTCTGATCTGGAACCGGAGAACCTGTGGTGGTGCTACCCATAGATATCGTGCCACCGGAAGCGTGAAGGTCATTCACTACGGAAAGTCTAAAGGACTTAAATCTGCTCCGGTTTAACAAACTCAGCGTTCATCTACAGTCTCCACATAACACAATATATCCCCTTACAGCAAACTTACTCACACATCCAACTCTCAGGCTGAGTAAAGTTTAAAATTAAAGAGCTACAGGTCCCAGATCAGAAGACGAGGCAAATAACGACCGCGAGATCGGTCATTAGAGCTGATCTCAGATCAGCTGCTCCCCAATCAGGAAGTAAGTCCACATTAGACTTCAACGCACTTTTGCAGAACTCGTGCACGCGCCCGTTAGATACCGCAAAACAAAGTGTCAGGAAAGCTCGTAAAAACACAGTCCCAGTGAAATGCGTGCGCGTTTACCTGAGGGCGATTCGCGTCGGTGTCAGTCTCGGCGTTTGACAGGGTGGGAATGAACAATGATAGTGCAGCACCGCAATTTATAGACGGTCTCTAAACTACGTCCCCGTATATGGGAAAAGCTTAGGGAGCGTCTAAAAACACCGAACATTACAGAGCGCGCGAACAGAGTAACTCAATATGTAATTGTCATCAGTTTGAAGAGACACTTAATCTCTTATTTAGCAACTCCTCAGAGTTCAGAGAGATTTAGAAGGTCTTTTATTACTGCAGTTTTCTTTAAGGAAGTTGTGTCATTTTTTTGTACTGATTGTTGTTGTTTTGAATGTTTAATTGTCTATTTGTAGTGTTTGTAATTGTAATGTACAATGGTGGCAAATGAGTTTACTCTTATAGGGATTTAATAAAGTTTTCTAATCCATTTGTTTTGGGAAAGTAACTATTTGGGGTGGATTTTTCAAGCTTTGTTTTTTGACTTTCTGAAATTAGACCCTTCTTGGTTTTAATTTACTACTTTTTCTTGCTGAATTTTATATTCACAAATAAAAAAATTTTCAAAGAAAGTTTAATATGTATTTAAACTCCTTGAGGAAATGTAAGATTCGGTCATGGTGTAAAACATTTAAGATAATTTGATATTCTTTGTTGTTTTGTCTTGTAACCCTCATTGTTGTCTATTGTTCATGTCTTGTTTTTTTGTAATGTATCACTCGTTTAACTAAACGATATGCGTCTGCTTTGAATGACATTAGAAACCATGACGCTCTTCTTTTAATTAATTTATTGTAATTTGCCCTGGCACTGTTATATTTATATAATAACTCCACATCGGGCTTTATATACAGGACAGACCCTGAACACATACACACATCAGGCAATAACGCATTAAATTAAGCAGCTAATGTAGTTGTAGTGCCAATGTTTGACATTCAACCAGATCAATCTTGCCATTTCTAGATTAACGGTCACTTATCCTGGCTATGTTTGGGTTGGATTGTATATTTCTTAACTAGACACTGAAGAGTGTGTGCTATGAGTGCCTGTTATTTAGACACATGTTAAATATAATGCAGTTTGTAACTATAAACAACAGGTTTATTCCTCTGGTTAAATACGGCAAATCTTGGTATTCGTATTCCACGCATACTGAAAATTAACACACGCAACTGCATACTGCAAAATCAGTATAATTTTATAAAGTTAATAAAGTTTAAGTCATATGGTTGTACTGTAAACAAAAGATCTGTTTGATCATGAGGTCAAGAGGTCATTCGAAAGCATGGCTTTGGGTTTCAGATCGTCTGAAGGTCAATGCTATTTAAATGACTGCACAGTTAATCAAATGTTGCATAAAAACCTAATTTACAAAACACATCTATGATCAGATTTTATCCTAAATTCCATTCATCCAATGTCAAACGTTTACGAACAGGTCGGCCTACATAGCATAACTTTGAAAGCATTAATATTATTATATGTGCAAATGAGCAACATTTTAACAGATGCATGAAGTATGATAATATGGCTGTTCTACACTGTAAAAAAAAGTTTGTTCACTCAACTTCAATTTTTTTCTTTTTCTTTTTGCTTTGACTGAGTAAAGTTTCATTTACTTAATCTTATAAGTAATTTCAACTTAAAAAGTTTAGTTGACATAGTTAAAATAGTTGACCCAACAAATTATTTCAGGTAACCTGGACTTGCAACGTTTAGTTGAAAGACAATAACTCACATTTTCAAGATATCTGTACTCATTGAACTTAATTTGTGCAATAGCACATTCAACCAAATAAAGAACAGAGTTTTCCATACAAACGATTCTATCGTTCCTTACAAATCGATTAATGTTAAGAACAAACTCAGTTAACATAGTCAAAGGAATACAATGGTATTGCAATTGCATAAAGTTTAAAGATATATATATTTTTTAATGCAAGTCTGTTTCCGCCACAGAATTAAACATTTTAAAAGACAATTCTGACTTTTATCTCACAATTGCGAGTTTACTCAAAATTCAGAGATAGAAAGTCCGAATTGCGTGATGTAAACTCAAAACTGACTTTTTTCCTCAGAATTGCGACTTTATATCTCACAATTATTTAATTGCGTGACTTTATAACACACAATTGCGACTTTATATTATGCGATTCTGACTTTATATCTCCCAATTGCGTTGTACAAGTCAGAATTGCGAGATAAAAAGTTGCAACCACCTTTTTTTTTTATTTTTTATTTTTATTTTTTATTCTGTGGCGGAAACCAGCTTCCATAAGAGTCAGATATGGATAGATCTGGGATTAAAGAAACAGGAGAGAACAATGATTAGAGACTGTCTTTTCCTTTCAGCGGAGGTGTAGAAACACGCAGACTCTCCCTAGTCCACCTCCAGACTTGAATGAAAGGTCAGGGTTGAATTAAAGGGGGAAATGTGAGAGTGCATTTAAGTTCGGACCTAAAGGGCACCTATGATGATCACACACACACACACACACACACACACACTCACACCCATACCACATGCCTCTATTTTCCCTGTTTCCCCCTCTATAGCCTTTAACACCCGGCTAAAATTAGTTTCACTATCACAAGAGCTGACGGACACTTGTGTTGTTTGGGATCAGCCGCAGATTCACAACACTTGACATTCAGCCGTTGTGTTAAATTTGTCAAAAAAAAAAAGTGTTGAATGCTCTGAGCAATACAGTCTCTTTCTTTGGGCTTCAACTCCCATTCACTCCCATTATAAAGCTCGGAAGAGCTAGGGTATTTTTTTACATAGATCTGGTTGTGTTTGGCTGAAAGATGAAAGTCACGTTGGCAACACCTCGCTTGCGGGTGAGTCAATTATGGGATTATTTTCCTTTTTGGGTGAACTAATCCTTTAAGACCTATTCACACAAAGAACAATAATTATAAAGACAACTATTAATGATAACCTGTATTGATATTGTTCTGTTTATTACCTCGTGCTGCAGTTTTGTCCTCTGTCGCTTTAATACTTGAGCCTTTAATGAAGGACGGATTCTGATTGGCTGTCAATGTTTGCCGCAAAAAAAAAATTCGTCCAATTGCAATTTGCACTGTGTGAAGTTATCAGTAGAAGTTGTGCTGCAGACTCTGCTATTGTTTTATATTTACAGTAGTTTTTATAAATATATCGTTTTATAAATCCTTTGTGTGAACTGGACTTTAACGATAATTATATTAGCGTCCACATCAACGGACAATCGTGTTATTGTATTTTATGTGCTGCAGCTTTAAATGCTCGAGCTTGTAAAAGCGGGATGGATTCTGATTGGCAGTCAAATTTTCAAATCGTTGATCAGCTGAAAAAGCACAAAAAACGTGATTCAGCATATCTCACTGTGCTGTTATCGTTATAACTGTGATGTGGACTCTGCTATTCTTTATTAACTATTTTTAGTATCGTTAGTAATCGTCCTTGAATAACGGCCTTTAGAAAAAATGTTCAGTGTATGTCTTTTTTTCTAGTCATGTTTTAAAAAAAATTAATTAAAATAATATGCCTACCTACTAATTAATCAAAACTGAATTCATAATTGTAATATAGCCTGATCCCGTGAAGGTTCTATAAACGCAACGCATCAGGAAAGGCAAAAACGGTAAGAGCTTGTTGAGATAATTTGAATAATATACTTAAAAAAAAAAAATCGTATCTCTCAGTGAACAAGAGACATTCAGAACAGAGATAGTCACGTCACGCGGCCGCATGATGGCGCTGCATGTGTGTTTGTGTGTGTGTGGGGGGTGGGGGGGGGGTATAAAACATGTATGTATGTAAGTGAAGTTTTTTGAACATGTAAAACTGCAGAAAGTTGTGTGTGATGGGTTGGGTTAGAGGGGTCGGGTTAGTGTGTGTGTGTGTGTGTGATGGGTAGATTTAGGGGTTGGGATAGTGTGTGTAGTGTGTGTGTGAGATAGGTAGCGTTAGTGTAGGAGAGGATATACACTTTGTACAGTATAAAAAACATTACGTCTATGGAGAGTCCCCACAAAGATAGTAAACCAGTTGAGTGTGTGTACATGTATGTTTTCCCAGTGGGACTTACACCTGAATGCACACAGACTCATCATGGGGACTCGTGTCACTGTGGACCTAAACTGAGGGGTTAGTGTGTGTGTGTGTCAATCTCTGTCATAGATCTGACGGGTTTCATGTCTGTGTCACATGCACAACTTCCTGTTTCCTGTGTTGCAGCAGTGAAGAGTGCCTGACCCTGCTCTCTGAAACACTCGGCCGGATCACTCTCTGTTCATGATCCTGGAGGAACGCTTGTTCACGACTGTGCCTGAGCGCTTCCTATATCTTCTGGCTTCAAACACCTGGATAAAAGTGCTAAATTAAATTAAATTGTGAGTTTTGTTAGATTGTGCATATATATGTTTCATCACTGTATTTTGAGAGCAATTTCAAAGTGCTGTTAAAAATTAAAGTTGAACAGAAATGACATAAACACACCATCCGTTCAACTTGTGTTTCTTGAATCTGTTGAGTTTTTAAGCAGCCTAAAGAAGGCCCGCATCGTTCACTCAAGTGTGCCGAGAACGCAAACCCTCTCAAGGGAGAAGAGAAACGGCACGGCAGCCTGTGATTGGCCGAGACACTCGCACGCATCATCCACTGAATATTATAATGAGCTCTTGACTGGAGTGCTGTGATTAATCTGATTATTACATATTACATGAAAAACGTTTTTTTTTTTTTTTAAAGAGAAATGTTGCCTTGACTGAAATAAGTAAAATTAGCTAAAATTGAAGCTTAATGTTTTAACAAATTAAACAGAAAATGTAAAAGCTGGAAATATTCAAATAAAAGCTGTGAATAAAACTATAGTAAAAATGAGCATGAGGATGAGTTTCAGATGTGATCCAGTTAGTTATACTGATATGAATCATGATACATGAGATATGTTTTGAGTCGTGTGGTGTGTGTGAGTCGTGTGGTGTGTTACGCCCCGGTCTGTTCCTCCCACATGAACACACGGACAGGAGCAGCTCCACAGAAACTCATTCTCTCTTTATTTGGCATCTAACAGTCAGAATCTGGGGTTTGTTCAGCAGGATTTGACACAAACAATCATACAATCAAATAGGAAAACCGTTTGACTTGACGCTCCGCCCGTCCGAAACAGCGAAAATACTATAGTACCGTAAGTCAATCAATTAATTAATGATAAAACTATAAATGAGTTTGATATAAACTAGAGTTTGCGTTCCACTGCCTGACTGGAGAGATGACGAGGAGAAACAAGATCTCAAACTCCTGGAATGTTAAAACGGACATGATGATGATGATGATGAAGTTTGTTTGATCTTGGATCTGTTCTTCTGGCTTCTGGAATGGATTCCTGAAGATGGCCGACAGATGAAGTGGTAAAGTGGGCGGAGTAAGTAGGGCAGGGGGCGGGGCTTGTTCACATGTTCATCTTCCTGAGGTATGCAGTCATGTCAAAAACGAGTGGGTTGATTTTCCCTCCGTGAGCATCTTTTACTCCTTTAGCAATGATTACCGCTGAGAGAGAGAAAGAGAGAGAAATAAATCTCACAAGCAAAATATGAATGATTTATTATTTATACATTAAAATTAAATATAAAATAAGTGGGTTTTTTTTATATAAAATATTTGTGTATGCTTTATATATAAAAACATGTCTAGTCAAATTTCATCCCAGAATCTAAAGAAATATCAATAAAAGTTTGAATAATCAATCAATTATTAATTAATTAAATGTTTTTTATAAATAAAATAATTACTGAAATAATTATAAAATATTTGTAATATATTTACAAATAATATTTGTATTATATATACATATATATGCCTATATAAAGTTTATGCAAATGTTATATATATATATAAAAACATAAAAAACCTGTCTAGATTGAATTCCATCCCAGAATCCAAAGAAATATCAATAAAAGTTTGAATAATCAATTAATTATGAATTAATGAAATATTTTTTATAAATATAAAAAAATAATAACTGAAATAATTATGAAATATTTGTAATATAGTTAGACACACACACGCATATAAATATATAGGCCTATATAAAGTTTATGCAAATGTTATATATATATATATATATATATATATATATATAAAACATAAAAAATAACTGTCTAGATTGAATTTTTATCCCAGAATCTAAAGAAATATAAATTAATTATAAATTAAAACTAAATGTAAAATACATATTTTTAATATATTTACATAATATTCGTGTATACTTTAAATATAAAACATGTTTAGGTGAAATCTACCCCAGAATCTTAAGAAATGGAAATAAAATTAAATCAATATATTTAATATATTTGCATGTAACATTTGCATAAACTTTATATAGGCCTATAAAACATGTCCAGGCCAATATTCACCCCAGAATCTAAACAAATAAAATGACATTACATTTGTAAAAAATAAATTAAAATTAAATGTGTATATACACTACAATATAATATATAATAATTATATTTAATATATCAAGAAGCACTGAAACATTTTGCAATGTGTGATGCTCAACATCCTGTAACGTGTAAAATAGTGTATAATTCGTGATGTAGCCACACATATTTTCTGCTTTGTCACAGCGAGTCTCACCTTTATGAGATCTGCCGATGGTGAATGAAAAAGGGTCGGGCTCTTTCTCTGAGGTCTTCATCTTGATGTCCATGGTGTGCTGGCCGTCCACATTCAGAGCGTCTCTCAACACTGTGCACTTTCTGCCAGCCAGAGTCACACCATTGGCAAACAGAGACCCACGGTCACCAGCTATCATAGCCTGAACCTCTCCTGCCTGCAGACACACACACACACACACACAGTGAGTGTGGATTGTGGTGGGTGATAAAATCGTCCAGAAACACATGCTGAAACATGTAGAAACATTTCACACACAGATTCTTGCGCGGCTCATGTTTTGTCATGTTCCTGAAGACGACGACGCTCACCTCAAGACAAGCAAAACACAATGTTTTGTCCTCTAATGCCATGTTTGAATAAGATTTTAGGTTCAAATGAACACTGAAGTCTAAAGAAGTGTATATTTTAGATGCTGAACTCAGTTTCTCTCTGTTTACATGTTCAGTGGTTCTCTGGTTAGATGAACCAGCACGAACACTACAACCCCAGATAAGCTGTGGTCTACTGCGGTCACAGATAGAGACGGCATCTCTAAATTCTTTAAAAGTCTGAGCTGCATGTTTCAACAAGAATGGGGAAATAGAAACACACAACTGGACACACACACACACAGCTATATATATATATATATATACATGTGTGTGTGTGTGTGTGTATGTGTGCGTGTGTATTAAATATATGCTATACTTTCAGACTCAGTGTGCAATATATATATATATATATATATATATATATATATATATATATAAAGAGATCCAAAGTCAAGTCAAAATGAAAGTTAGCGAGAGGAAGCCAAGAAAGGAAGTGCACACACACGGTGAAATTAGGGGTCAAAACATTAGAATTGTGCTTTACATTAGACGCACAGACGATAGTTTCACTTAATGGAGATTGTATCTCTCACACAAATGTATTCTAAATATTTAATAGCTTATGCTATATATTTTTTTTTTTCAGCACGAGAGTACGCGCACCATGGGCGGAAGCGGGGCGCGCGCGCAGCGAGAGAGAGAAAGAGAGAGGTACCCACTTCCGCCTTTCAGCACGATGACCAAATAAGGAGCAGTTCACAGAACTCCGCGCGACTGCTGTGAGGAAATTCACCGCGAATGAATTAACGGTCGATTTGAAGGAGATATATTCGTGTTACCCTGCATCAAACTAATGAAAACTACAGAAATTTACTGTCACGAAACTTATAGCAAAGTTTGTGGCTTCACACAACGAGAACTACCGTTATAATCAGCAATGCTGCGAGCGCATCCTGATTTCCAACGACTTTTATAAGCGGACGACAGAACATGTAAGTAACAAAAACTAGTACCATTCAAACAAATAACTACGTAAATAAATCATAATCAAACGAAACAAGCGAACAAAAATAACGGTTTAGTGTGTAAATGTTGTACCGTGACTTGGCTGAGCCAGCCGCCCGGCGCCGAAGCCCAAACGGACTCCTGACCCGGTGTCGTACCGAGAATGACCGCATCATCCACCCATTCGCTCTTGGTCAGGCTGCTGATGTAGCTGTCCCAGCTCATGACTGCTGCTTTAGATCTGAAAGCAATAAAACAAGATCAAAAATCATTAATATAAGTATAAACACGCCTGACTTGTCTTTACTCTGCTGCTTAAGAGAACTTGAATCGCGTCACTTATCATCCATGCCGCGAAAGCTCCAGGAAAGAGATTTAAAAAAAAAAAAATACAAGCGATAAGAGAAGGAAAGTACCTGAATGCGTCTCTGCTTCGATGCAAAGTGAGTTTGAGGAAGTCCGTGTTGGTTTATATGCAGCAATGAGCGCGCGCCCTGCCCTACGGGCCACTTCCGCACCGCGCGAGACACTTATGCTAAACATACTACTGAAGATGTACGATACGTGAACTCGCAAAGTTTGCTTTTTGGATGCATTTGCAGCTAAACAAATGAGCAGATAAATCAGTGGCAAGAGTTGCACATAGTGTACATTCAGTGCACAAACTGTAGTGTATTGTTGGCCTATATTTAAATGCATTTATGATAAGGAGGAATAAAGCATGTGCTAAATACAATCTGGATTTTTTTTTAAATCAAGAAGAACATAAGTCTTGAGTGGCCGTCATCATTCAAATTAAGTAGTCAACATTTGAAGTGGATCAAAAACAGTTAATCAAAGTTGTCCTTACTAATACTGGGTATTGTTCAAAATTCATGGATAACTTTGATTGAAAGGTTTTCATCCACTTCAAATGTTGAGTGATGTATTGTTATGTGCAGATGCATTTTAAAGGCCTACTTCACCTAAAATGTTAAAGTGTGAATGTTGGTAACCAGATAGTTCTCAGTAGCCATTGACTTCCATAGTATTTTCTTTTCCTACTATGGGTGTCAATGGCTACTGTCAACTGTCTGGTTGCCAACATTCTTCAAAATGTCTTCTTTTGTGTTTAGCAGAAGAAAGAAACTCATACAGGTTTGGAACAACTTGAGGGTGAGTAAAGAATGACTGCATTTTCATTTTTGGGTGTTAATAAACAACGAATGTAAAAACACCATACATGGATCATAGTCATATGATAGTTTTGAATGAGGAACAGAGTCGCAGCTCTAAAAGTTGCAGCTCTAAAATCTTCTTCACACTTCCACATATTCGAAATGGCACGTCGCGTTTTGAATACATGCTACCAGCTAACAAAAATACCTTCTGATAACATTTGCTAACATTAAGTTATGAAAACGTAATTTCTGAATGTTCTCAGAATGCTTAAAATGTCCAGGTAAAAAAAAGAAAAGAAGTAAATACATTCTAAATAGTTAAATGAACAAAGTATAAATAACATTTTTGTGCTAACGTTTTAAGAACATTACATAACATTAAACCAAAGTTCTAATACTGGAATAATGTTTGAAAGAACCTCGCCAGAACTTTCTGAAAATGTTCCCTGTTAGCATGGATGTCATACAAGTCATATTATGATAGATTTATGATGTTTTTTAGACTAAAGGTCCTTGGACTCCAAAATTCTCGTCCGAAATTTTCGCACGTTAAAAAATAAATACGACGTCGCGAATCACGCTTTCTGCAAAACTTTCGTAGCAAGCATTTAAGAGTTGTTTTGACCATTCAGAGCCACCTTACAAGCTAACGCAAAAATACAGAATGGCGTCTGACAAGTTGATCCACTTCGTCTCGCAAGAGTCGCAACACAAAGCACTGGATGACAAAGAAAGCGCGGAATACAAAAGAGAAATGAATATAAAGACAGATTGCAGCAGATAATTGCGGAACAGCTTGGAGAACAGGATGGTCCTTCTCTACGCAATCTCTAGATTTGAAAGAACCCAATATTTCCTTTTATTGGGTCAATATTTCCTTATTGAGAGGACAACAGAATCATCCTCACTGCTTGAAGACACCATTTTGTAATGTTTCGCGAATTTTTACCCAATGGCTTAATTACTACGCGTAAAGGTGAAGACCCAACTATTTTGTAAGATTAACTGTTGAACATTTTATTTGATTGTCCTCGACTTAATATAAGTAGAATGCTTTTTTATGAAGTCACCTCACTTAAGGACTTATTTAGTACGATTATGCCTGAAAAGGTTTTGGATTTTTTTATTTTTCATATATTAATTTAAAAAAATCTTGCTGTTTTTTTATTTATTTTTTATTGTATTGATATTTGTATTGAATTTTTGCCATGAAAATAGCCTTGGATGCTGACATGGCACTAAATGAAACAATCTGAATGTAATTAATACGCATCGGAGCAAGGTTTCTGTGCGTGACAAGTTTTTGGGATGATTAATACGAAATACCAACATTTGGGACTCATTTAGCAAAGACCTTAAGAATTGGAAAAGAGCTGCATCAAGATTCTTCAACTACTCTTATTTTGTGTTGCACAGAAAATGCAAAGGTGGGGAAATAATGACAAGAATCCTTATTGTTTCCCTTTAAAAGCTTGTCAAACAGGCTCCTGCATCATGATACTCAGATAACAGACTTGTTCTTGTGTTTTAAAGGTTCTCAGATGGACTTGCTTTGATTCACAGATGCAGTTTCACTCAAGTCTCCCCCTTCCTGACTTCATTCTGACTTTAAATCTGAATTAAAGTGTACAGGTTTAAGCTGATCTGGAGTGTGTCGTGGGTTAGGCCGGAGTTTGGCCGTTTGCAAAGCGACAGAGAAAAAAAGGAGGCGGCAAAATACAGCAGATCTTCACCACAACATCCTGTTTGTGAATCTGCAAACTGCATGATATGACAGGAAGAATTACAGAGACTACAGTGAATGAGATGAACTGAATTTCATTCCACTACTGTGTCTGACTGTGAGAAGATGCTGCGGTGAAGATAATCTCTCTTCTCGTGTTGTCCTATCAGAGCTGACCAGACGACACCGAGAAGTGACAGCTGGAGGAACCAATCAGATCGTGCCATGCGAGAGAACGAGGCGAGAACAGAGCCGTAACATTTCATCCTTTAACAGGCCAAGAAACCGGTCAAAAACATGCCAAAGTTAGTCTAGGATTCAGAAGAAAAACTAGCAATTATATTGTGCATTTCATTTTTTTTATTTTTTATTATCAGTTGCATTCAACGCTTTCACTTTTAAGGGACTTTTTATTTGAGATTCACATTAGATTTCCTGGTACATTGACATTAGTTAGGTGGCATGAACTAACAATGAACAATACTTCTATAGCATTAAAGCCAGAGCTTCAATGTTCATTTTTAACACTAACTGATACATTTTTTTAAATCAATAGGTTTTTGTGAATTCATAGGTTGTTTTTGTGAATTTGCTTCATTCACAGTGCATTAACTAACATAAAGATTAATGAATGTTTATAAAAATATATTGCTCATTATCTGTTGATGTTAGCTATGCATTTACTACGAGGCAGGCAAATACACACACATGCAAACACACAGGGCACGTGACATTTACTGCACGACTGCTGTATTGCAGTAAGTGTTTCATTCAGGAAAATGGGTAGTACTTCACAATAAGTTCCCATTTGTTAACATTAGTAAATGCATAGCTAACAAACAGACAATGAGCGATATATTTTTTTAAAAGCATTCATAAATCTTCGCTAATGTTGGTTAGTTAATGGACTGTGAAGTTAATTCACAAAAACAATTTTTGATGTTAAAAAGGAGCATCTTGTAACACTTTACTAAGGTTCATTAGTTAACTACTTTAGTTAGCATGAACTAATAATGAACTTCACTTACACAGCATTAATTAATCTTTAATATTAATTTCAATATTTACTAATCCTTTATTCTTGTTAACATAAGTTAATGCACTGTGAACTATAAAAACAATGAACAGCAGTTTAACAAACACAGTATTTCTCATGGTTAGTTGTAATGAACCTTGTTGAAAAGTGTTACCCAAAATCTCTACTGGAGCTGAGGAATTCATGCTCATGTTCTCACTGGTTAGACCAGAGTGAGACGTCTCTATCATAACATGCGAACACACGCTGACTAATGTAGTGAAAAGAGAATGTGTGCCTGCAAGGCAGGCAAATACACACACACACACACACACACACACACACACACACACAGGACTAAGAATCTTTTTGCTGGCTGTGTAGAAAGTATTCGAGGCCAGCAGGCAGAGCAGAGACATTCGTATCTTTGAGTTTATCAAGACAACTGATCAGCGATAGGCCTTCTTGAGCGAAGCAAGCAGAGAGATTGCATAATCATAGATCTTCAGTCAATAAAAAGCTCATTTAATCACTAAAATAATAGTACAAAGTCCAGAGCTCTAGATAAACACAGTTAAACAGAAAGTTCTGTGCCTTCTTGCATAAAGCATCTTTAAAAAATGTGTTTTTTTTAGGAATTTCAGTCATAATGGTTCTTTTCCATTACAATGAACATAAATAACAAAAATTACATCCGTCTAGTGCGCGTTTAGATAGAAAAACACATGAAAAGTATCGCAGTGGAATGGAAAACACGTTCTGTGTGAACCGAGCCTAACGATACACGATCGGCCGGTTTACATGATAAACAGATTTTAATTTAGGTGTTTATTAACATATAAACATGGATCAAATTACATATAAGCACATTGATCAAATATGGTTAACGGAAGCTGCGTCACTCGCAAGTCAAACAAATGATCATTACTACAGAAATTTTCCCAAACTTATGCTATACTTAGGAAAATTACAGTTAAGGAGCTTTATGTAACACTGATCTTAGACACTTTGGGGAAATTCACAAAAAAAAAAAAAACTTGATTAGATCCATATACTGTAAATAAAAAACTTATAGTCACTGATTATGAGTAAATGATTACTGATGGTTGACACTCATTGCTTGATAAATCCACATATAAGTAGATTGAGTTCATTGAAACTGTTTCGCAGTGGTTTGTGGAAGTGGGCTGTGGCTGATGAAGGTCTGTTGTTTCCATTGTAACAAAGCCTTCTCTGACTGTGGGATTATGGGTAGTGTAGTACTCCTAACATTTCAAATGCCGTTTTATAAACTTGAAGTTAAAATCACATTGACATGCGAAGCTTATGACGACACTTACACTCGGTGAGTCTGTGCTAAAAGGTTTATGTGTTATACATTTTTTTTTAATTTTTTCATGAGGTAAACATTCACAGCCATGCTAATTTCTGTTTTATAGGTTGAGCTAGATGGAAATTCTGCAGTCTAACAACATGCTGTCGATGTCGGCTTGTATTTCTGGGTGGAGTTTGTGGTTGGCTAAGAAAAAGCCTTGTGTGTGAAGAGGAAACTAATTTGCCAGTCAAACATGGAAGAAAATATCCATTCTGCAAATGTAATGAGCTTTGAGAACAATTGCGTGCTTTAAAATGACAAAGCACACGAAATGCCACACGACATACTGCCATGAAGGTAAAGCAACCAAACAAAACGCATGATTTTAAGAATAGATACTATTACTTAGTGTTAAGGTTTTTAAACACATCACTGTGACTTCTAGATTTTGTAAGTCAACCACTTTTAAAATGTCAAAATTTTGCTCCAGATCAGGGTTAGCACCACATTCACAGGGTTCAATTGCACTGATAGTTATAGTGTGAAACAGCCCATTGATCGGGTGTTAAGGTGAGATGTTGAGCAGCAGACAACTACTAATAAACTGCCTCAAATTTAACCCAATGATAAAGATGCAAAAAAGGAACACGCACACACACAGCTTCAGTGCTGCACTGACTCAGTGACTTCCTGTCTCTGACAGGAAGTGGAGAAACTGTCTGTTATACATGTGAGGATTCTCATCTGATCTTAAAAACCCTCCTCTCGGTTTCTTTCGCATTTCCACTCATCCTGTTTTCTTCTCACAACCTCTTCCTCTCATATAACCTCTGTTTGATTGCACACACACACATTTCACAAAATTAGTGAGGACATTGCCTAGACTTCTATTGATTTTATATCAGGTTAATTTTCTTTTTTCTAAACACAAGCCTCACAGAAACATGAGGAAAACACTAGATTTAAATATGAACGTTTTGGCCGGTTTATAAGCCTTTTTTAACTAGTGGCATTTAGTAAAGAGTCCTCACTTGTCAGTTGTCTCTCTACAAGTGAGCCCTCACAAGTATAGCCAAACCTGCACACACACACACACACACACACACTACCCTCAGTATAATATGCCCTTTTTAGGCAAACTAGGAAGTGAGAGAATGTGTGGGAGATCTTGAAAAAGTGTCAGTGAGAAAGTGAAAGTCTAAATGCAGTTCACATCACATTGAAGTGCACACGTGTCTCTTTTTAGGCAGCTTAGTAATTTAAAGATTGTACTAACCTTTAGTACCAATCGACAGGAAACTGCGTGTTGCTAAATAGATGTCACAGAAAGACAAACACTAACACTCACTTCTGCATATCGATCTGCTGACCTGTTTTAACATGCTGGGGGAATTCTCTGAGGAATGCAGGTTTTGCGTTTCAGGGTTGTTGTTTTTTTGTGTGGTGTGAACAGCGCCACCTTGTGGGGAGATACACAAACTGAGCAACTTCCACATTTGCAAGAACATCTCAACAGTACAAAGTTCATCCACCCTGAGTTTCAAGGCATCAGGTAAAGTTTAGGTGTTCATACTCCAAAATACTTAATGTGGTTTAAGTGTTTAAGCAATTTTTAACTACAGCCCCTTGTAATACAGATAGTTTCAAAGTAGCTTCACACTTATAAATCAGAAGTCAACAATTATTGATTTTCGCAAAAAAAAAAAAAAAAAAAAAAAAAAAATAGGCTACTGACGATACCGGTACTTAGTTTAAAATGAACATCACTTAATATTAATACAGTCGTTTGTTGAACTGCTGTATAAATTCAATGTTACATTTGCAATTGTGTGGATATTTGTATAATGTGGTAAAAACGGGAATCTGTTTTCTATTGAAGAGAGTTTGAATCTTAAATCTCTATGCGCAATCTGTGTCAATATTTGTTCTTCAAGTGATAAATCCCCACTTTTACAAAGGTACATTGTCGAGAACGGCACGATTTATAATCTGCACGCAACTTATATCATATACACGCTGCTTGTGTGAATGCAGTCAGTTTTGAGCACAAAAGATGAGGTCATTTGATCGGATGTCATGTATTTACAGCAATTGCAGATTTCGAACAGAGATGGCGACAAAGTAAAAACTGCAAACTGAAGCTTCAAGAAATGTATTGAAGTATATTTTTCTCTATATATTTGTGATTATGTTGCACATATATCTGCAATTGGCAAGCACAGTATAGGAATTGACAAAATGTTCTTCGCCACAACAAAGTCAGGATACTCTTCCTAGTTTTCCTAATGTCTTCCACACCTGTTACAGTGGTAGCAAAACTAATTCCCTTAGTCCTTAGGACGAATCAGTCTTCGACTCCTTAGAACGAATCAGTCTTCGACCTCCACCTGAAGGAGTCATTATGGTTTTCCTGGAAATCACACGCCACTGCTCTTAATTTGGCTCTGAGCTTAAAAGGCAACTTTAGAGCTGAAAAAGGTTTCCGAATTTCTTGTGGCGCATTCACGGGATAAGCGAAGCCTGTGATTTTACTCGAATTTACAGACTTATGATTGAAGTGGAGGATATAATTTCGTCATTTTCCTTTCTTGATTTTCTTCCAAATGTAGGCTATATGCAGCATCCTGATCAGCATACATGTGCACATTAACTTCTTTAGCTATAGACACGGCTATTTGTTCCTTTTTTTTTTCTTAAACGCTCTTCTTCTTCCACAGCATGCTTCTGATGCAACATTTGTTGACTGGCTAACAAAGCTGCCACTTCAGCTTCAGCTCACTGAAGAGCAGATGATGTAGGATCTACTAGATCGTGAACCAGAAGAAGTGCTCTTTTTATTTGCAGTAAACATTTGAGATGCTATCAGTTGGTTTGATCTCATCAATGAAATGCTCATAAGTCAATGTATAACATTCCCCGCCTTGATTCAGAGTCTTTTGTACATTTGCATTTACATCAGAGGGAACAGCAGCAGGCAACAGATCATTTAAAGGAGATTGTCCTTCAACAGCCAAAGTCATTGTCTGTATTCCATCGATTCCACAGTGAGATGATATTCATTACTCTGTCTGTTCAAACTTTTGCTCTCCATAACCGCATCAGCCTCGTCTTCATCAATCAACCTCAGCAGCACATACAACTTTAATCACACACAAAGATTGTGCAAATCCCAGCGCTGCGTGTAACACACATGACAGAAACTACACACTTCCAGTCCACAGTTTATCCAAACAAACGGATCCCCACTCCACATCAAGCACAACCATAGTGTCTCAAACAGACAAGCAGCAAGCAGATAAATAATAATCGGATTCACGTACCGTGTTCCAGTGCAGGGCATGAATGAAATATCCTTGAAAACAAAGCAGCGTTTTCTCTTGACTTATATTAGCGGCATTCCTGGTAATGGGACTGCTAATGAAATGTTTACACTCAGTCGTCATTTTCAACAGAAGTAAGACTGGTGATCTTAGCTTGCTTTTGAGTTGATTTTAACAAAGCATATACATGGTTAAATTGATGCAATACAACACAACAGGAAGTTGTAGTTGCTCCTGCTACTGCTACTCGCCCCAACACTAGTTCAAACAATCCGCCAAAGGATAAAATAAAGAAAAAGGAAGTGATCAGAATAAACGATAAGAAATAACAAAGAATTAATGCTCCTAGTCATAAAGTGAATCCAAATGCACAAGGTTTTGATTTACTTAAGTTTAGTGTAAACTAGCCCAATGCTGCAGGGGGCACCAGGAACAATCGCGCTCGAAATCCGACCAAAAATGCCAAGTGTGAAAAAAAAGTCTGTGTCTGATAAATACTGGTCTGGTTTAATGGAAAAAAAATCACACAATCTGATGTTCATAAAGATACTACCCCCTTTTCTTGTAGAAACCAAATTTAATACCTATTTGAACATTTTAAAAATAACAATAGCAATCAGACCGCACCAAATGTGCCCAGTGAGATAACACTCTTATCCATTTTTGTTTTAGTGTCTGATAAAAACTTGTGTGGTTTAATGGAAAAGTCACATAATCTGATATGTTTTTAAATATACTGCCCCTTTTTCTTGTTGAAACTAAATAAAGTCAAAACCTCTTTGAACATTTTGAAAATCACAACCAACCAATGGTTGCACAGGAATGTTAACGAGCAGGTCCTCTGTCACCAATTTCACTATAACAAGAAACCCAGGTGATGAAAATCTTTTATTTCAAAAGCCCTGGCTTGAAGCCTGTTTTAAAAAGTAAAGATAGATTGGTGATTGTTTCATCCGCAATCAAGATGTCAGTTTCAAACTTTATGTTTTTAGTATTTATGTCTCACCAACTGGTGCTCAATGGTAATGTTTTTTTTCACTAAAATATGTATGTTACTTTTTTATCTTTTTTTAACCTTATATCTTTTTTTTCAGGATTTGCTTTTCCAGTTGGGCATAATTCATTTAGCAAAGGTTTGTAACCCTTATATAGTGGTTAACATAATGTTTTTTTTTACACCATCCATAGTTGACTTTAACAAAGCCTGATTTCTTCTTGTATTAAAGTTAATAATACCTTTTGGTTTCCAGATGACCCCTTGTGTTTTCTTCGTGTGAACAAACAAAATCAAACATGGCCAGTGGTAGTGAAGTGTAATGTGGCTGTTCTGACGTCTTTGCAGAATGCATCTGATGTAACTGACCAAAAAGGTTGTGTGTGTGTGTGTGTGTGTGTGTGTTAACTGATGCTATAAGGTTGATATTGACCACGAGGAAAGATAATCTTAGCTTTTTTTATCACACCAATTTTCTTTAGGCGAAGAGCCTCACCGTGTCCCCGCTGAAGAGCCTTGCCGTGTCACCCCTGAGGTTGATGGGAAGTCCCGACATGTCCCAAGTGAGCTTGATGGGAAGTTAACAGAATCCAGCCCTGTCCCAGCTGAAGAGTCCTGCCGAGTCCCCGCTGAAGAGCCCAGCCAAGTCCCTGCTGAGGTTGATGGGAAGTTGATTGGGACCAGCCATGTCCCAGCTGAAGTTTCCTGCCAAGTTCCTGCTGAGTTGGGCTGGAAGTTGACAGAATCCAACCGTGTCCCAGGTAAAGAGTCCAACCAAGTTCCTGCTGAGGTTGATGGGAAGTTGATTGGGACTGGCCATGTCCAAGCTGAAGAGTCCAGCCTAGTCCCTGCTGAGGTTGATGGGAAGTTGATTGGGACTGGCCATGTCCAAGCCGAGTTGGATTGGAAGTTGACAGAATTCAAACATGTCCCAGGTGAAGAGTCTTGCCAAGATCCTTCTGAGTTTGATTGGAAGTTGACTGAACCCAACCGCGTCCCAGGTGAAGAGTCCTGCCAAGTTCCTTCACAGTTGGATCGGAAGTTGACACAATCCAGCCATGTCCTAGGTGAAGAGTCCCACCAAGTCCCCACTTAAGTTGATGTTGACTGAATGCTTGTGCTCTAAAGTCTGAAAGTAGATCTGTCTGTCTCTACATATGCCACTTTCAGATCTCATTTTTAGTTAATAAAACCAGTCATCTCTCTGGAAAAGTGCTGATATAAAAAAAAGTTCATTAAAAAATATTGTTATAAAATATTGCATATTAATTTTCCAAGCAAACTGTATTTTTAGTCTGAATATCACCATTTGGCACAGCAACTCTCATTCAATGTGAAGTTAAGCAGCAAAATGGAAATATTTGCACGACTTTCTAACATTTACAGAGAATATGCCTGTGAAATGTAAGTTTTGCACTGAGGAAAACACTGTATCAGGCCACATTTACACATGGCTGGGCATTGAGAGAAACAAATATTTCCCCCCTCCATTTTCAATAATAACATCATACACACAACATCGTTTTCAAAAAAAGTTATCATTTACATCAACCTGCATAAATATGCCGTCATAACTCTGCCAAACCTATGGCGGGCAGTGTAGGTAGAAGGATAAAGCCATGCAAGCCAATCAGAAACTGTGCACTCCTTCGCCTCTGCTGATATAGTACATAGACATATACTGTATACTAGATGTCACCTTGGCTACGGCAGTTCATTGGAACGAATGCGTCAATACAGCTGCCATCTTGAAACGCCATCCCCTCCACTTTAATGCATCAGTGTCAATGTAGACACAGGTCTAACGGAAATAAAATCACCATAAATCATCATGAATGCGATTTTTCTCGTTTTTTTGGTTTGTTCCAACGGTCAGACATGTATTTATCATTGATTCCAATTTTTTTTTAATTTAAAAAAAAAACATTCTTCCTAGTTCAGATTTCATCCGTGAACATCATACGCTGCACAAAAGTCCACCACCATCAATGAACTCGAAGCAAAGGCAGAGATAGCAGCGTTACCTAGCTACTTCCTATGACAAGACCCCTGTTCCAAGATGGCGGCGGTTTTGATGCTTGCTTAGAACCCTAAGGTGACGTCTAGTTTATATGTCTATGAATATAGTAGAGCAGTTGTATTTGCAAATGCAAACAGGCCAAAGCGTTTGCACAAAAGTAAAAATGCATTTTAACAGGCATTCTTAATTAGGCCTGTTGCTGCCAATTTCATGTCAGTCCTGGACTAGGACTATGGCGATGTTATTAACATTCATGCACCCATTCAATGCTTTAAATTGTAGGATACTGCTTACCACGAAGCCCTTAGGTTCATCACAAACTTTAGAGCACTTACCCATCACTGCTCTCTATAATCGGGTTGGTTGGTCTGCATTGTCCACCCGTAGCTGGCACATTCTTATTTACAAAGCTATTCTTGGACTGCTTCCCCCATACCTTCAATCTTATATTAAAAAGAAAGGCACAGGACGATATTGTCTTCATTCTGAGGACTTATTGTTGTTATCCATCCCTCATGTCCAGACTGAACAGAGAAAATGGTCGCTTATGTATCGCTTATGGTCGCCCAGCGCTTGGAATCAACTGCAAAATGTCCTGAATCTTCAGGAACCGGTTTCACTGGTTGCTTTTAATAACTTGAATTTAATTAAATGACATAGAGGCTACACATGCTAGCTGTAGTTGTTATGATTCATTATTTGGATGATCCTTGCTGTTGTTTATCTTTGGTGACTTATAACTCATTATTTCTTATATATGTTTTATGTTTATGCTATATGTTTTTCATGTCAGCAACTTTGTTAATTGTGCTGCTGCCTATGTCTTGGCCAGGACACTCTTGGAAAAGAGATTTTTAATCTCAATGAGTTTTCTTCTGGTTAAATAAAGGTAGCCTATATAACAGCATCCATGATCAGTAGCCAAACAAACTGTAAACAAACATAAGGTGCTCACATGACATTAAGCATTTTCTGGTGCATAATGTGACGTTTGAGAACCTAAAACCCGGTTTCTCCCAGACTTGACACGGCAACACATAACCGGTGTTCTCAGAAATCTCCACTTTGGCTGGAGTTTTTAGAAATAATTGATAAAAACAGAGTTTTTGTGTAAATGAGAGGCCAAACCACGGGAAAATATCTGGGTCTTCCCTTCATGTAAATATGGCTTCGAACACATAAAACAGCAACAAAAAAAAATCCTATTAGCTGTGATGGATCAATTTAATTGTTACGTGAGTATCGCGATCAATGATGACCTGTAGAAAATTGCACACGCAATTATCCAGACTAGGGTAACCTGGATCAAATTAGTGATATTGCATGCACTTTGTTAGGTTCATTCAAGTCAGGTGTTGGAGTTTATTACCTGCTGTTCTTAGCGTCTTTTATGCAACCAGCCTCAGGTGATGAAAATCTGTGTTATTTTAAAAGCCTTAGCTTGAGGTCTGTTTTAGCAGGTCATGGTGATTGTTTAATCTGTAATCAAGATGGCAGTTTTAAACTTTATGTTTTTAGTATGTATGTGTCACCAACTGGTGTGCAATGGTAAAGTTTTTTTCACCCAAGTGTAATGTTTCAAAAGTTAAATGCATATGTAACTTTATGTATTTTTTTTAACCTTACATCTTGTTTTCAGGTTTTGCTTATCCAGTTGGGCGTCATTTATACCTGTCTGGTATTAAGCAATTATATTTGAACAGCAAAGGTTTGTAATTCTTATGTGGTTGTTAACATTATGCCCTTTTTTGCACTATGTACTTAAGTTTGAGGCCTGATGACTTCTGGTATTAAAGTTAATAATGGCTTTTGTTTTACAGGTGGCTCCTTGTCTTTTCCTTGTGTGATCAAAAAAAATCCAACATGGCCAGTGGTAGCGAAGTCTGATATGGCAGTTGTGCTTTCTTTGCAGAATCCATCTGGGCTAACTGTCAAAAAAGGTTACTTGTGCTGATGCAATAAGGTTGATCTTGACAAAGAGGGAAGATAACTACAGCTTTTTATTGCACCAATTTTCTTTAGGCATTGATGGGAAGTTGCTGGAATCCAGCTCTCTTCCCGAAAAGGTTAGTGGGAAGTTGACTGAGTCCTGCCCTGTCCCAGCTAAAGAGTCCAGCCATGTGTCCACTGAAGGTGATGGGAAGTTGACAGAGTCCAGCTCAATCCCAGCTAAAGAGTCCAGCCCTGTCCCAGCTGAGGTTGATGGGAAGTTGACTGAGTCCAGCTCAGTCCCAGCTAAAGAGTCCAGCCATGTGTCCACTGAGGTTGATGCGAAGTTGACGGAGTCCAGCTCAGTCCAAGCTAAAGAGTCCAGCCCTTGCCCAGCTGAGGTTGATGGGAAGTTGACGGAGTCCAGCTCAGTCCCAACTAAAAAGTCCAGCCATTGCCACTGAGGTTGATGGAAGTTGACGGAGTCCAGCTCAGTCCCAGCTAAAGAGTCCAGCCCTTGCCCAGCTGAGGTTGATGGGAAGTTGACGGAGTCCAGCTCAGTCCAAGCTAAAGTGTCCAGCCCTTGCCCAGCTGAGGTTGATGGGAAGTTGACTGAGTCCAGCTCAGTCCCAGCTAAAGAGTCCAGCCATGTGTCCACTGAGGTTGATGCGAAGTTGACGGAGTCCAGCACTATCCAAGCTAGAGAGTCCAGCCCTGTCCCAGCTGAGGTTGATGGGAAGTTGACGGAGTCCAGCCCTGTCCCTGCTAAAGAGTCCAGCCATGTGTCCACTGAGGTTGATGGGAAGTTGACGGAGTCCAGCACTATCCAAGCTAGAGAGTCCAGCCCTGTCCCAGCTGAGGTTGATGGGAAGTTGACGGAGTCCAGCTCAGTACCAGCTAAAGAGTCCAGCCATGTGTCCACTGAGGTTGATGGGAAGTTGACGGAGTCCAGCTCAGTCCCAGCTAAAGAGTCCAGCCATGTCCCCACTGAGGTTGATGGGAAGTTGACGGAGTCCAGCACTGTCCAAGCTAAAGAGTCCAGCCATGTATCCACTGAGGTTGATGGGAAGTTGACGGAGTCCAGCCCTGTCCCAGCTGAGGTTGATGGGAAGTTAACGGAATCCAGCTCGGTACCAGCTAAAGAGTCCAGCCATGTGTCCACTGAGGTTGATGGGAAGTTGACGGAGTCCAGCTCAGTCCCAGCTAAAGAGTCCAGCCATGTGTCCACTGAGGTTGATGGGAAGTTGACAGAGTCCAGCACTATCCAAGCTAAAGAGTCCAGCCATGTATCCCCTGAGGTTAAGAGGAAGTTGATGGAGTCCAGCCCTGTCCCTGCTAAAGAGTCCAGTCCTGTCCCAGCTAAGGTTGCTGGGAAGTTGACGGATTCCAGCTCAGTCCCAGCTAAAGAGTCCAGCCATGTGTCCCCTGAGGTTGAGGGGAAGTTGATGGAGTCCAGCTCAGTCCCAGCTAAAGAGTCCAGCCATGTGTCCCCTGAGGTTGAGGGGAAGTTGATGGAGTCCAGCTCAGTCCCAGCTAAAGAGTCCAGCCGTGTGTCCACTGAGGTTGATGGGAAGTTGACGGAATCCAGCTCGGTCCCAGCTAAAGAGTCCAGCCATGTGTCCGCTGAGGTTGATGGGAAGTTGACGGAGTCCAGCTCAGTCCCAGCTAAAGAGTCCAGCCATGTATCCCCTGAGGTTGATGGGAAGTTGACTGAGTCCAGCTCAGTCCCAGCTAAAGAGTCCAGCCATGTGTCCCCTGAGGTTGAGGGAAAGTTGATGGAGTCCAGCTCAGTCCCAGCTAAAGAGTCCAGCCGTGTGTCCACTGAGGTTGAGGGGAAGTTGATGGAGTCCAGCTCAGTCCTAGCTAAAGAGTCCAGCCCTGTCCCAGCTGAGGTTGCTGGGAAGTTGACGGATTCCAGCTCAGTCCCAGCTAAAGAGTCCAGCACTGTCCCAGCTGAGGTTGATGGGAAGTTGACTGAGTCCAGCTCAGTCCCAGCTAAAGAGTCCAGCCATGTGTCCCCTGAGGTTGAGGGGAAGTTGATGGAGTCCAGCTCAGTCCCAGCTAAAGAGTCCAGCCCTGTCCCAGCTGAGGTTGAGGGGAAGTTGACGGATTCCAGCTCAGTCCCAGCTAAAGAGTCCAGCACTGTCCCAGCTGAGGTTGATGGGAAGTTGACTGAGTCCAGCTCAGTCCCAGCTAAAGAGTCCAGCCATGTGTCCCCTGAGGTTGAGGGGAAGTTGATGGAGTCCAGCTCAGTCCCAGCTAAAGAGTCCAGCCATGTGTCCACTGAGGTTGATGGGAAGTTGACGGAGTCCAGCTCAGTCCCAGCTAAAGAGTCCAGCACTGTCCCAGCTGAGGTTGATGGGAAGTTGACTGAGTCCAGCTCAGTCCCAGCTAAAGAGTCCAGCCATGTGTCCACTGAGGTTGATGGGAAGTTGACGGAGTCCAGCTCAGTCCCAGCTAAAGAGTCCAGCCATGTGTCCCCTGAGGTTGAGGGGAAGTTGATGGAGTCCAGCTCAGTCCCAGCTAAAGAGTCCAGCCATGTGTCCACTGAGGTTGATGGGAAGTTGACGGATTCCAGCTCAGTCCCAGCTAAAGAGTCCAGCCATGTGTCCCTGAGGTTGAGGGGAAGTTGACTGAGTCCAGCTCAGTCCCAGCTAAAGAGTCCAGCCCTGTCCCAGCTGAGGTTGATGGGAAGTTGACGGAGTCCAGCTCAGTCCCAGCTAAAGAGTCCAGCCATGTGTCCCCTGAGGTTGATGGGAAGTTGACTGGAGTCCAGCTCAGTCCCAGCTAAAGAGTCCAGCCATGTGTCCCCTGAGGTTGAGGGGAAGTTGATGGAGTCCAGCTCAGTCCCAGCTAAAGAGTCCAGCCCTGTCCCAGCTGAGGTTGAGGGGAAGTTGACGGATTCCAGCTCAGTCCCAGCTAAAGAGTCCAGCATGTGTCCCAGCTGAGGTTGATGGGAAGTTGACTGAGTCCAGCTCAGTCCCAGCTAAAGAGTCCAGCCATGTGTCCACTGAGGTTGATGGGAAGTTGACGGAGTCCAGCTCAGTCCCAGCTAAAGAGTCCAGCCATGTGTCCCCTGAGGTTGAGGGGAAGTTGATGGAGTCCAGCTCAGTCCCAGCTAAAGAGTCCAGCCCTGTCCCAGCTGAGGTTGAGGGGAAGTTGACGGATTCCAGCTCAGTCCCATCTAAAGAGTCCAGCCCTGTCCCAGCTGAGGTTGAGGGGAAGTTGACTGATTCCAGCTCAGTCCCAGCTAAAGAGTCCAGCATGTGTCCCCTGAGGTTGATGGGAAGTTGATGGAGTCCAGCTCAGTCCCAGCTAAAGAGTCCAGCCATGTGTCCCCTGAGGTTGAGGGGAAGTTGATGGAGTCCAGCTCAGTCCCAGCTAAAGAGTCCAGCCATGTGTCCACTGAGGTTGATGGGAAGTTGAAGGAGTCCAGCTCAGTCCCAGCTGAGGTTGATGGGAAGTTGACAGAGTCCAGCTTAGTCCCAGCTAACAAGTGCAACCATGTCCCCACTGAGGTTGATGGGAAGATGACAGTGTGCATATGCTCTAAAGTCTCCAACAAATCTAGTAAATATCTAAATATGCCACTTTCTGATCTTGTTTTTAGTCAATAAAACCAGTTTACTTTCTCAAAGTACTTTTTTTTTTTTTAAATCTGCTTTAGAACATGTCATTCAAATCATCCGTTCAAAGTAATTCCAACAAAGTGATTCATGCCACTTTTACTTTTGTATTCCTTAATCTCTATTCTAAGGGTGAATTTTTGTATTATTTTTTTTTCTCCCAAAAAGGGAGACTTAGCCGTGTGTCCACCAAAGTATTTTTCCACGTGCCTGGTTTGTTTTCAATGGGAGCGCCACGTTTTTTTTTAACGCCATGATCGTAACGTAAAACGTTCAGCATCCAACTGTGAGCACTGTAATTTATACATTTTATATACTTTTATAATTTATACCCCATCAGCTGCCACTGTCTGTGCAACTCACACTGCTTTTCATAATCTCTTTTGCATCTTTAATATGAATCAATTCATATTTTATTTATATAGTGAATACCGTAGTGTTTGATTTTCATATTTAAGTATTCAATTTCTGAAATTTTACTTACTACAGCATGTTAAATAAACCAGGGTTACATGAAAAAGCTTATTTAATTTGTATATTCTTAAAAAAATGTTTCTTTTGTCCTATTGTTTGTAATATTTTTGATATTAAAAATAGAACAAAATTGCCTGCCTTTATTACAGAAGACTGCCAGTAATGTGAGTAATGATTGCAGTCAGCATAGTAATAATATTGACTAAAAGTAAATGTTTTAAGTAAAAAACATTTAGTGAGGTTATAATTAAAATAAGGAAAAAAATCTGTCAGTTAGCTCAGAAAAATATATTTACTTTTAAAATTAAAGTACATTTTTCTAACAGATTCCACACAATATAATAATATTGATTTATAAAGTGTTATTAAAACTAGGTAATGTTAAATTTATTATAATATAATTATAATCCAATTCTCATCATCGATCTGCACTTTTTTATTTTTGCAAAAGAACGTTTTCTATGCTATAATGTATTTCTATAATAAAATACATATGATATATCTTACAAAAAAGTTTAAAAAAACCTGTTATCTTTCCAAGCACAGGACTGTTTTTTAGTTTAATCAGTCTTCCTTTTATTATATAATTAGCATAAAACAAACAATATCGTTCTTATTCAGAGTGATTAAAGATTATTAAATAAAAAGAGTGAACCTGAATTTAACCGAGTTTCTTTCAGTCTCCTCCTCCTTTTTAAAGTGTGAGCAATTTTTAAATACTTCATTAACGCTGCAAAAATAAATTTAATGCAAATGGAAACAAGATTATTTTTCTTTCCCCATTGGCAGATAATTGAAAAACATGAAAAAAGTACTTAAATTAGTTTTCCCCTAAGGAAAGACATACCGTGTTTTGTTTTTATTATGTAGAAAATGCATCTTGATTTAATTGAATCATTAGACATTTTGACTGGAAACAAGACCAAAAATTCGAAGAAAACATTTTTAAGACCAAAAATTCGAAGAAAAGTTTTTTTTTTTGCAGTGCAGTGTTCATTCATTGCGTATTATTCTATATATTTATATATATATATATATATATATATACACTGTATATGCAGAGCACATTAGCAAGGCTGCTGTATGGAGAGCGGGAAGGAAAGTGAGCCTTGCATAGGCAATCAGCATGACTTAATTTAATAATAAAAAAAAAAAAAAGCATAAGAACAAAGATACATAAGAACAACAAGTGAACAAACCATAAAAAGTGTAATCTGTGAAATAAGACTAAGTTCTAGAACTTAAGAAAATAGTATTTATTTTGCATAAAACTTTGGTATTTGGTTATTTTGGTAATGAACATAAAATATAAACTATACAACAACTCTTCATTGAGAAACACCATTAAAATAAACATCTTAATTATGTTTGTGTGTGAAAAAAATAATACCATCAGGAATTGAACAGTTCCCTTCAGATGAGCTGCACGTTTTAACAGTTATAAACCACCAGGAACCACACGCTTTCTTCCATCAAAAGCATGTAAAGCTCCCAGACAGGTCTTCAAGTAAACTGGATCTAAATTCGCACAGATAGTGTTTGTTACCCAACAAACGCACAGTCTGGCACTTGAGCTTGTCATTCATCTCTTGTGCTCTGCACTTTTGAGTAGCTCTTGCACGGGTTCTTGAAGCACGCGTGTGGAAGCGACACGGGCCATGAGAACGTGCAGGGAACCGTTGTTCTAACGTTCTTCTCCAGGAAGTTAAACAGCAGGCTCCACCACGTTCGGTTCAGGTAGTTGTAAGGAGAACCTCTCAAGCCCTACAAAATCAGGAGAGAATCCAAAATGTGGTGTTATTTGGCTCCAATTAGCCATTAAGCAGGAACAAAATAACCTGTTTGTTAGCATGAACCTGTAGAATATGGGCTTTTGTTTTAGCAACCGATTTGCTGCTCGAGAAACATTTCCAAAAAAAAAAAGGTTTGCTTGGAACAGTAAAACCATGACAAGTGATTTTTTATCACTAATTGTCAACAAAATTGTGCATCTCAGCAAATCATAGTTTTCCACGCTGGAAATCCAACCTCAAATTTAATCTACAGCATCTTCCCAAGTAAGAAGAGCGGAAGTCGAATGTTGCTTTTGTAGGATCTGTAGTTAATGCAAGCTTTTACCTGGTGGTTGGCCATGGTGTGGTACCAGTAGAAGAGGCGCGAGGTGATGAAATACGCCACCACTACATCCACGCTGTAATGCTCATGCGCTATCAGGATACAGACCACGCCCACTGCACTTAATAACCAGCAGATCACGTGATAGCAACGCCAGAGCAGTGTGCGGGGCGAGTCTATGAAACAATACATCAAACTTACAAATGTAGTCACACAAAAACAAATAGAACTAGCCAAGTAGAGACCCTCAGAGCAAACATTTGGGCTTTACAATTTGATGCCCCAACAAAGGCTGAGTGGCTGGACATTATGACCAATGTCCAGAATATGGAGAGGATGAGTTTTGCTTTAAACTTACAGATGGATAAATATTGTGTTTATGACTTCATGACATGTTTATTGACCAGTGCAATGCACCATCAGACACATATACTCTCATACATTTTGCTTTATGTAAGAATATATTAGTGACCAAACGATTGCCCTGAACGATTGTATGTTGATGATTTTTCTTCATAGCTGTTTTTTGTTTGTTATGTTTTGTTTAAAAGGAAAAAGAATAAAAAAATAAAGTTTAAAAAAAAAACACTGGGGCTTATGAACACTCAATATTTAATCATACAATAATTGCTGATACGTCAAAACACGATGTGATGTGATTGTTGATTTGATTAGTTTCAGTGGCTTGAATATTATCATAATTGCCTATTCTACACTTCACAACTTGTGAATTTGTATTAACCCACAAATGAAGCAAACATATACCATTTAATCTAACTGGGACATCCACAAAAGAAAATACAACTTACTTTTTTTATTTTAAAAATCATTTAAAACAAACTCATGAGATCATCAATCGTCTGATGATGGCTCCATGCTGGCTCGCCAGTTTTGTTTTTACATACAAAGAATGTTTCTTTTTAGTTATATGAACGTTAGAGGAACATTCCATGCTAGTATTTTGTAAATGTTAAGAGAACATTCTATCGTTATGGGCTATATGCACGCATAAGTTCCGCATTTGACGTAAGGATGCTCGTCCATTTCCGGTTGTGTAGATTAAAGCGGAGGAAAACCGGAGAAAACGGGATTATGGCAGAGTCTTCAATATTTACTGTCCTCCCATCTTTGAAACGAAACGTACATACGTTTAGATGTAATTTTATATATAGTTATGTTTATTTAATATAATTTTAAAAAGAAGCATAAACACAACGAGGGGTGTCTGTTTTATCTGTTTTTGTGACTAATGTTTCATTAGTATAACCATGGAGTATAAAATTCAATATAAATTCTCGGTATTGCATTGGACTCTATGATCGGCGGAAGTTATCGAGCATCCTTAATCCTTTACCGGAAATAACGCCGTGCATAGAGCCCATTACTAAACAGTAATGGAAACATTCCCTGTTAGCTGG